TGGGGCCTGGGGATGGTACACCAGAGTGTGGGGCTTGGGGACGGTACGCCGGAGTGTGGGGCCTGGGGACGGTACACCGGAGTGTGGGTCCTGGGGACGATATACCGGAGTGTGGGGCCTGGGGATGGTACACTGGTGTGTGGGGTACAGGGACAGTATACCGGAGTGTGGGGCCTGGAGACGGTATATTCTAGTGTGAGTGAATGGCTGTGCCTTTTATTAAGATCCAGGGAAGGAGTTGAATCCAGGGTTTCACTTGAGCCGAATTATGGTTTATAACTGAGTAGAGTTTTTTAATGGGTCAAAATGACACCAGTCTCTGTTTATAAAGCACCTTTCAATGTAGTGAAAAGACCCATCACACTTCTCCAGCCCTGTAAGGGGGTATTAAGGTTGTCGACCAAAGGATTGGCCAATGAGGTTGGTTTTAGGAGTCGGGACACGAGAAAAAGGGGCAGAGAGTCAGTTCCAGAGCTTCGAGCTTTGGTAACTGAAAAGACAGCCGGTTAATTTGGTTTATTTATATCCCTATGAGGAAGTAGTTTAGTGCATGGTCCAATATTAAGCCAAATGCAAAGGGTTCAATCCCTTTTCCGGATTAGATTTGGAATTAGATTTGGGTCCTTTAGGAAAACCATGTAAACTATGATTTGGAAATCCTTGAAAAATCGAGGATGTTTTCTGCAGAAGAAACTACTCCCGTGAAGTAGCTCAGGATGATTTGCTCCATTTGTGCCAATGTTGTTATTAATATGTAAAATGTCCTTGTGACAAGAAATACATTTTAATTAGAAACTGAGAAGATTTTAACTCAGAAGAATAGTCTGCGTTTGAATATCCAGTGCAATAAATGGGTTTTAAAAAAACAAAGAGCTGCAGATGCTGGAAATCAGAAACAAACAGAATTTGCTGGAGGAACTCAGCAGGTATAGCAACATCTGTGGAGGGAAAGCAGAGTTAACATTTGGATTTTCAGAATTAAAAAAGGAATAAAAACTTATTCATTCATAGAAGTGGGCATCATTGATTGAACCAATATTTATTGACAATCCCCACTTTCACTGAAGAAAGTAGTGGTGAGCTGCCCTCATGAGCGACTGCAGGCATTTGCACAGATAATTTCTCGATTTTATTTTTACTTGTAAGATTCAGCAAGCACTCTACAACATCTGAGCATGGTGCCGGAACCTGATCTGTTAGTTGTAAGGTTTTGCTACAGTCGGTCGTACTGTTTCCTCATGTAACAACATATAGACTTGTTTCTTTCCACTGTTACATCACACAGTGTAAGTTACAATGAGTCTGGTCTGAGGTTTTCTGCCCAGATTACAATGTGTGAGCATTTTGTGACATTGGTTTTGTTCTGTTGAGAAAGTGAATATTTTGTTTCAGAAGCTTCCATATGAATGCTGTCTGAAATAGAACTATCACCAGTTTAACCTGCTGTTATATTCTATCCTGTTGTTGATAGTCATAAACTGGGTCACTTGGACTAATTAAGAAAAATTGACTTCAATAATCACAGCTATTAACTTGAAGGTATTGATTCAATTTTAAGGTGGTTTACCCACTTTCTTCTTATTAACACCAATTTTAACAGTGCCACATTTTGTTTGACAGTCTCAAACATGCTGTAACTGCCAACAAATTATATTCATCTAGGATTCTGTTGAAAGGAGACTTGTTGTTAAACAGGTATCTGGCAGGTTTGGAAGGGTAATTCCAGTCCACACCAAATTCTGTCGGGTTTCCTTGTCTCAGACAATAACTTGATTCTTGTCTCAATCTTCAAACTCCTTTCAAGTACAATGATACTAGTACTGAGCCTTTCAAACAACTCACAAAACTGGAGGGAGTGCTAACAAACGAAACTTGACATCAAGTCACATAATGGAGATGTTAGGGCAGATGACTAAAAATTGCTCAAATACTGTGAGAATTTAGAGACAGTTGAGGAGTCATACATACACCTCTTCCTTCCTGCAGTCTTGGGTGGACAGAGGAAAACAGGTCATTGTGTGCAATCAGTTCTGTGCTAGTGTTTATACTGCACACAAATAGACACCCTCACTAATGGTTTCTTCCAATCCTGCCTCATTTGAATTTAGAGTTAATACAGTGTGGAGCTGGAGGAACACAGCAGGCCAGGCAGCACCAGAGGAGCAGGAAAGCTGACGTTTCGGGTTGGGACCCTTCTCCAGCATCAGCAGTTCTTACTATCTCATTTGAATTTACTTCCTTTTGCCTGTATCTCTCTTAAAATGCTTGAATACAAACTGCTCTGAACTTTTCATGTGACAGTATGTTCTACATTGACATGAATCTCAGTACAAAGAAATTCTTCATTTGATTTGATGCTAGATATTATGTAATCAACTGCAAAAAATAAAATATCTGATCTACAGTATTAACCCAGGTTTCATTCTGGGATCTCACTTGTCCAGTCCCACTGTCAGCTGGGTTCATTACAGGGGCCACAATAATTACAACAACAACCAGCGTGCCACCTCATTAATACGTACTGGAACTGCTGTTTAATACAAATGCACAGTAAAAGGCCTGAGTGTCTTTATCTTATATTTTAGAATAAAACAGCTGCAAACATGGTGGCTCAGTGGTTATCACTGCTACCTCACAACACTAGGATCCCAAGTTTAATTCCACCCTCAGGTGACTGCCTGTGTGGAGTTTGCACATTCTCCCTGTGTTGGTGCGGGATGCCCTCTGGATGCTCCAGTTTCCTCCCACAGTCCAAAAGATGTGTAGGTTGGGTGGTTTGGCCATGCTAACTTACCCCGTAGTGTCCAGGGATGTGCAGGTGAGCAGGGGTGGGTGTGGGTGGGATGCTCTTTGGAGGGTCAGTGTAAACCTGAGGGGCCGAATGGCCTCTATCTGCATGATAGGAATTCAATGATGTTAGACACAAACTGAAAACTCTCCCAAGCACATTATTGTACATGAATAGTTGTTAATTGTCTCTCACTGACAACAGTGTGTGAATTCTGTTTAGGTTATCCACGATGAAGACCTCCTTCTTTTCCCTCTGCTTGGTGGTGCCCTTTCTGGCCTTTGTGCATACATTTGAGCCTTCGTTGGATGAAGCTTGGTTGAACTGGAAGTCATTTCACAATAAAGAGTACACTGAGGTAAGTGATTGAAGCAGGAACTTCAGCCTAAATCGAATCTCTGAATATCTAGGACAATGCCCTTAGTCAGAAACTATGTTTAACTCCCATGGCTTAATCCAGGATTACCAGTGATGATAAATTGAAGGCTGATGTTTTTCTTCTCTCTTTGTTTGACATATTCTAGCCTTTATCTTTTCTAGAATTCTTCTTAATTTTTTGCTTTTTGTGCCTGGGAGAGTAGCTCTGATGGCTATTGTATCATTTTGGGCCGGGCCAGCTCTTTGCAATGAAAGTATGGAAGGGCCTGCACGTTGTTGTAACTCAGCACCATTACTTTAATAATCAGAGAGCTAGTACAATCCACTGTGGAGATTTGGGTTTAAATCCCACCATGACAGATGGTGAAATATGAACTCAATAAAATCTGGAATTAAAAGCTAGTCTAATAACACCCATTTAACCATTGTCAACTCTCGTAAAGAAAACATTTAGTTCAATAATGTCCTTTTGGGAAGGAAATCTGCCATCCATACCTGGCCTGGCCTACATGTGACTCCAGACCCATGGCAATGCGGTTGACTGTTAACTGCCCTCTGAATGGCCAAGGACCACTATGGTTGGGTAACAAATGGCAGCCTTGCCAGTGACACCTATATCCAAACAAAATTTCACTACTCCTCACTATTATCTTAACTTGTCTCACATTTCACAAGGGGGGTTATCTCCATTTAAAATTCCCTGCAGGGCTAGTGGTTTCAATGGAGCTCCTTTCACATAGTTCAAGTTGGATGGGCAAGTCTATTTGTCCCTCATGGAGGGAAGGTGATCATGGGACGTACAAAATTCCAGGCTGCATCATAGAGCCATACAGCATGGAAACAGACCCTTCGGTCCAACCAGTCCATGCCGAATGTAATACCAAACTAAACTGGTCCCACCTGCCTGCTCCTGGCTCATATCCCTCCAAACCTTTCCTGTTCATGTAATTACCTAACCATCAGCTCAGCAAGAAGCAGCAACTTTACTCAGAGCTACATGGGAGGCAGAGGAAGGATTTTAATGTGTTGGAAGGAATTCAGAGAAAATTTATTAGATTAGTACCTGGACTGAAAGCTGAAAGGTTTGTTTCCATGAGGAAAGGTTGGACAGGCAGGTCTTCAGAAAAGTAGTACATGACTCGATTGAAGCGTATATGATCCTTGACCAGTTTGATGTGGAGAGGATGGTTTCCTCTTACGGGAGAATCTAGAACTGGAGGTCACTATTTAAAATAAGGGACTCCCATTGAAGACAGAAATGGAGAAACTTTTTTCCTCTCAGAGGGTGGTGAGTTGGTGAAACTCTCTACCTGAAGAGCCTGTGGGAGCAAAGCTCTCGAATATTTCTAAGGCAGAGTTGGATAGATGGCAAACACTGAGGTGATGTTACCAGAGTGGGGGGAATGTGGAAATGAGACCATAATCAGATCAGATATGATCTTACTGAATGGTGGATCAGGCTCAAGGGGGTTAGTGGTCTATTTCTGCTCCTAGTTTGTGTATTATAGATATGTAAGTGAGCTCCAAGCCATATTTACACAAAGACTCTATTACTGTGTTGTTACCCGCAGCGTCTGGTCTTTATCAGTTATTAAGTCTCAGGATATAGGTGTTGCTGGGTAGTTATCATTCAGCCCTGATTGCTTACAGTATCTTCCTAGATCAGTTCAGCCAGCAGTTACAAGTTATTTGATTTGATTTACTGTCACGCATAGTTTGTTACAAAATACAGTAAAAAGTGTGCAGAGGACTCTGAAAGTTTGCAGAGGGATATAGATAGTTTAAGTGAGTGGGCAAAAGTCTGGCAGATGGAGTACAATGTTAATAAATGTGAAGTCGTCCATTTTGGTAGGAATAGCAGTAAAAAGGACTATTATTTGAACGGTAAAAAATGGCAATATGCTGCTGTGCAGAGGGACCTGGGTGTCCTTGTGCATGAATTGCAGAAGGTTGGTTTGCACGTACAACAGGTAATTAAGAGGGCAAATGGAATATTGTCTTTCATTGCTAAAGGGATTGAGTTTATAAGCAGGGAGGTTATGTTGCAACTGTACAGGGTGCTGGTGAGGCCACACCTGAAGTACTGTGTGCAGTTTTGGTCTCCTTACTTGAGAAAGGATGTACTGGCACTGGAGGGGGTGCAGAGGAGATTCACTAGGTTGATTCCGGAGTTGAGAGGGTTGGCTTATGAGGAGAGGCTGAATAGACTGGGATTATATTCATTGGAATTTAGAAGAATGAGGGGGAAACATATAAAATTATGAAGGGAATATATAAGATAGAAGCAGGGAGGTTGCTTCCACTGGCAGGTGAAACTAGAACTAGAGGGCATAGCCTCAAAATGACGGGGTGCAGATTTAGGGCTGAATTGAGGAGGAACTTCTTCACCCAAAGGGTTGTGGAATCTGTGGAATTCCCTGCCCAGTGAAGCGGTTGAGGCTTCCTCATTGAATGTTTTTAAAGCTAAGATAGATAATTTTTTGAACAGTAAAGGAATTAAGGGTTATGGTGAGAGGGTGGTAAGTGGAGTTGAAGCCACAAAAAGATCAGCCATGATCTTATTGGATGGTGGAGCAGGCTCGAAGGGCCAGATGGTCTACTCCTGCTCCTTGTTCCTATGTTCTTATGTTTTCTCTCTCTCTCTGGTGGCATCTTATAACAAGAAAAATAAGCCAAAAACATCAAAAATAATGGCAGTAAAATAAAGAAATAAAGAAAGTTCAACTTTATAGTCCTTCTTGTTAAGTGCTCAGCCATGGGCCTGAAATGGCCTCATGCCATGCTGCCTGAACAAGAGTCACCACTCTCCGCTGCCATCTTGACCACACTGATGGTGGCACCACCATGAATCCTGGCTGGACCTCGCCAGTGCGTTCATCGCTGATGCCCACCGGGTCTCGTACTGCGCCCAAACGGGTTGAACAGGGAGACCGGGACAACAGCAGGAGGCTGGAGTCACTGGGAAAGGATTAGTGGGATAAAAACACATGATTCGTTCAGAGAATGGGTACAGCGCGGTCAACCACCCTGGCACCAATGTCGCATAAAGAGCTGGAGCTTTAATATCCTTTAAAGGGACATTTGCAAACTGTTGGGTTTCCATAGCAAGTTGACAGCTTCATGGTGACAGAATTAATGCAGTTATCAAAAGAAGCAATGGTGAAATGATGAAGTGAGTGGTTAGGGTCTGGAATGTAATGCCTGAAAGTGTGTTGTGGGGGGAGTTCCACTTGAAAGCATTGAAAAGGGAATATACTTTACTGCCTATGAAGGAGGGATGGTGCAGGCCTACTGGCAGGAGGTGGAGCATCGCATGAATTGCTCATCCAAAGGGCCGCCACTGTAAAGATAGGTTGAAAGGTCACATTCTGTGCTGTAGCTAGCCCATGGTTCTGATTCTGTAAGTTGAATTGAAATTCTCAGCTTGCCATGGTGGGATTTCATTTTCAAGTTGGTGAAAAAGTAATAAGTGGAGTGCCACAGGCATTGTTATTGGAGCCTCAAGTTATTTATGAACTGTATTACTGATTGTTGGATAAAGAGACTGACTATCCAATTTGGTAACGATACATGGATAGATAAGTTGTGAGGAAGATACAAAATTCGATAATTAATGCACATGATGAGGCCTGAGCCCTGGGACATGTCTTTTCAAGAAGATCTGCCACATCAAGTGGTACTTGAGTGCGTTTCAGACTTTGCCTGGGATCAAAGTCTGGAGGAGTGTTCTGCCAAGAGCTGCCAGAGCTTGACCACATATTCATTACTTGGGACTGGGGAGGAAGTGGCTGTTCCAGAAATATACCTGTGGCTTCTATTCCAGGCACAGGTTAATGAGGGCACTGCACAGTCGATCGAGCTGCTTAGCTGATCCAGTCTGCTATTACCGGACCTCGGCCTCAGTGTAAGAACATAAATGAAGTGAAAGGAGGCTTCACACCTCCATTTCCTGCTTGAGGAGGAAAACCCAGAGAAAGTGGGGGATGTGTTGGAACTGACTGACTGCAGATGGCAGATTGCATTGCTGATTTTTATTGCATCCTTTCCTCAGTCCAGGATCTTGCTGTACTGGCTAAAAGCAGCCAGAAGTAACACTGTCAATCACTGCCAAGATTTGTATGGCATGCTAACACGCAATGGTGCAGCTCAGTTTGGAAAGTGAGAACAATTGGCTTTAGTAACCAGACAAACATCAAAGTTCCTACCCGCTGAACATTCCTATAACTAAAATAAACCCCTCTCCAAAATCTCTTACAATCGTGGCATTAATTTGATAAACCATGATGAACTATCCTTCATCCTGCCTAGACTGAATGTAGTAATTAAAAATATTGTAGGAAGTACGTTTTCTGTGACAATTCAGTTCCTGTTTGCATTTGGCCAAACAGGAAAATATAAAATGGTTGCAAGGCAGTTTCACTTCTCTGTCTTTTTAAAAAATCATTAACTTAGTGTGCCATTTTCAGTTCCTGCCTATTTAAGGCACGGCTCTATGACAATAATCAGAAATGTGTTGCAACTACAGGGAAGTGTTTTTATTTTTAGTTTTGATTTTTGTTGTTGTTGAAGACCCAGATTGTCTGCTATGGGTTCTGTTAGCACTTGCTTATCTCAAGCATTCATTTTTCAAACCATGTACCAATGCAATAGTTCACTGTGGGAGCATTGCAGTTGATCCCAACTCTGTCCTGAGCTTGAGCAACACAGATACAGTTCATTTTTCCACGAGAAGTTGCTAAAGAGAGAAAATCAGGAACAAGCCCCTAACCCAGTGTTGGCCCATACCAGGGACTAGACTAACAGCCACCATCTCAACAGGGGGCAGATGTATGTCAAGGGTGGAATAGAATAGCAATTGGCAGGAATACAATAAATGTAAAATAAACATTAGTCATAATTATATTAATAATGGTATGTCGTTCAAGAAGCATCTTTGCAATCTGAAGGCTCAAATATGGTATTAGTTACGATGAAGAATCCATATATTTCAAATGTAAATTTAGACTTTATTGTCACATATAAAAGTACAGGAGTACAGTGAAAAGCTTTCAGTTTTGCCACACGGCCCCATCTTAGGTACAAGTACCCAAGCACAGACTCTTAAGAACAAGTTAGAAAGAAATAAAGAACAAAGTTAGAAGTTAAACATTGCAGACCTTCTTAGTATTAAGTAGAAAAATAAAGCTAAAACTTTAACCATTGCAGTCTTTCTAAAGTGCTTTGCCAAGCTGGAACCACACTTCCATCTAGAAGGACAAGGGCATCAGACATATAGGAACACCACCACCTCCATGTTCCCCTCCAAGTCACTCACCATCCTGACTTGGAAATATATCACCGTTCCTTCACTGTCACTGGGTCAGAATCCTGGAATTCCCTTCCTAATAGCATTGTGGGTCAACCTACAGCAGGTGGACTGCAGCGGTTCAAGAAGGCAGCTCACCACCACTTTGTCAAGGGCAACTAGGAATGGGCTAGAAATGCTGGCCAGCCAGCGACACCCACATCCCACAAATGAATAGGAAAAAACAGGGCTCGATCTCCTCTGCTTTGGCCCATTTTCCCTGCCCAGTCTATTCCAGAAGTCCCACTTCGGGGCTGAGTAATTTCCCTACAGTGTGGAAGCAGGCCCTTCAGCCCAACAAATCCACGCCGACTCACCGAACATCCCACTGAGACCCATCACCCTACAACCCACCTAACCTATACATCCCTGAACACTATGGGCAATCCACCTAACCTGTACATGTTTGGACTGTGGGAGGAAACTGGAGCACCCAGAGGAAACCTGCACAGACACAGGGAGAATGTGCAAACTCCACACAGATAGCTACCCGACAGTGGAATCAAACCAGGGTCCCAGTGCTAACCACTGAGCCACCATGCTGCCCAAAAATGTAACAATCATGTTGTAATAAACAAATTCAGCAGGTAAATAAAGAAATGTTGAATGGATGATCGTAAGAAGAGTAAAATTGAACTAAAATTATCTTGAAATCACAAACAAATACATCATTCCTTCATTCCAGGCACTCTAAAGTACATAAAGATTTCAGCATCCAAGTAATTCTCTGAGGACCAGGGCCATGTATGGAGTGGGGTTACATCATTAACATTCCCATTCCAGTGGCTGAATTTAATTGACTTTTTGAATTGCTCAGATTGTTCTGGGTGTGGTGGGGTTCTGAAAACAGGAAGATCGTGTAAGAGATTTTCCAAACTGAGTGTAAGTGTTAACTCAGATAGAAATTGCCGCAGAAACTCAGCAGGTCTGGCAGCATGTGTGGAGAGAAAGCAGAGTTGATGTTTCAGCACCAGTGACCTTTATTAACCCTTGTTGTTTGCAGCGTTTTGAGCTTTGTGGCATGAACGATGCAGTTGTACATCTTGGACAGAGGGTGGATAATCGATCTCAGTGAATATTCGTGTATTCTTTCGATGTGGGCAGTCTGTGTGGGTGCGAGAAGCCAGACTGTCACATGTAGATGTAGACAATGTAAATGAATAACAATTTACGAACAGGCAGTCTCTTAGGGATGAAGCATCTGAGAACAAATAATTATTTAATTGCTTTTGGCACACTGCCCTTTTGACCATCTTACTTCAAGTCAGCTCGAATGTCTATTCCCAAGATGTTCAAAACATTTATCGTATTGCGATGTAACTGTCTAACTTTATGTTAAGGCACTCGTACTCATGGCTGTCAAAGTCTGTTCATGTGATATTACACTGTATTTACTAATGTTTAACTGTTGATGTTTTCTGCACACCATTCATTGTGGACCCCAGTGAACCTCACTGACTGTATCCCATGGCCTAGACCCTGACACTGTCATATCATGCATTTTTTCCCAGTGTGGGAGACCAGAAGGAAAGACAGCATCATTAATAATCATAGAATCCCTACAGTGTGGAAACAGGCCCTTCGGCCCAACAAGTCTACACTGACCCTTGGAGCATCCCACCCAGACCCATCTCCCTATAACCCACCTAATCTACAGACCCCTGAACACTACAGGCAATTTACCTTGGCCAATCCACCTAACCTGCACATCTTTGGACTGTGGGAAGAAACCAGAGCACCCAGAGGAAACCCACTCAGACATGAGGAGAATGTGCAAACTCCACACAGACAGTCGCCCGAGAATGGAATCGAACCTGGGTCCCTGGTGCTGTGAGGCAGCAGTGCTAACCACTGAGCCACCGAGCCACCCATAAGGATTAGGACAAAACAAAAATCAATTTAAAGGGGGAGCCATGCAAATGCAGACTATTGCTATTTAGCAGTGACCTCAATCACGAGGCTGTGAAATCATAGAAGTAATTGGCCAGAGTGCTAAAAGTTGTTGCATTCAATCACTCCATAAATCAACAAATACAGTTGCAAGCAAACAGTGCAGATCACTAACAACAGCTCCTCTGATTGGAAGAGAAAGTTTCTTGACTGTAGCCTCTGAGTTGGAAGATGCAATGTTCAAACTCTGCTCCAGATAGATGATTGCTATGGACTGTCAGAACTCACACCAACTCTCTCACCTTGTAGGACGAACGATGGTCTAAAGACAGTTACAGCCATGAAAGTCATTCACTTCACAGCCTTGTCAAACTCTGTACCTTTCCAATATTTCTTTCCCTACTCTGAGAGAGAAAGATGCAAAGATTAAACAGCACCTACATCTCAGGAATTGTTAAAAGAGTTTTATAAAAGTAAAGCCACTACACGTTTCACATAACCAATTTCATTTTCTCTTTAAGGATGAAGATAATTATAGGAGGATGGTATGGGAGAAAAACTTAAAACAAATCCAGCTTCATAATCTTGAGCACTCGATGGGCAAGCACACGTATCAGTTGGGAATGAACCATTTTGGAGACCTTGTGAGTACAAATACAGCTGTCGTATGTCACAAAAAGTAGTTTGGCTTTTCTGATACAGTCCCTAGTGGTGGATTTGAGCTATCAATCCTTAATCTATACTGCATTTGCCCTAGTCGGGGGATTAATAAGGGCAGAACACTTGACCTCAGTCTCCCAGAATGCAGATTGCTACCCAGTGTTCAACAGGTATCCTCTGGTAAATGGTCAGTTCTATCACCCAGCTGGATTGTTGATATTGGGACAGTTCTGCCGACGATATTGACAGGAAACCTGCTCAATTTTCATGGCGGAGCCTCGTTTAACTACAAGAGGCCAAATTCTGGAGTTATTAGAGTTACTGGTTGGGAGCTCAGTGTTTGAAAGGCATGGGTCTGCTGCAGCCCTTTAAAAGTGGCTGCATTTGGGGTGAGGGAGAGACAGGGAAATTTTAGCAGCACCCACAGTTGCAAGGCATGAATTTTAGAAACCTTTAAGGCTCAAAATACTCAAGGGACTGAAAAAGGAGTGAGTGTCACTCTTGCCCCTGGTATTAATTGACTGTGGCTAAGGAACCTTTCAAATATAATTTCTGCTTCCTAATCTTTGCCACTGTTCAGTAGGTCATGGTGGTGTTAAGAAACTGTTGACCCTGACTTGCCATTTCTGACTGGGAGCATGATTTCTCTAAATCACGATCTGCCCAATGATCAGATTAGTTGCACCTCCAGCAGTAAGCTAGATCGATTTGCTGGATTTCTCTTCGAATGCAGTCATGTTGATGCTTAAAAGTGCGCAGTACAGAGATGAAAATTGTTCTCCATATGTATGGATGTTGAGTGAGGATAGAATCAAGCTTTCCCATAGCACTTGAATTGTCTGTCAATATCCACTCAAAAGGTTTCTGAAAAGGCCCACTGTAGTGATTGGGACCAGGCAGACATTATTGACTATGAGATCCTTGACTGGGGATGTTAACCCGGGCCAATCAGGGAAGCCTTGGCTGACCAATATAACCAGGAGATTAGAATCTCCCCGGTGGAGGCCTGACTCCAAGCTGGCTGGCCACAGCCTGTGTACTGTGCACTAGTAAATAAAGGGTGACTTGGTGAATGGAAATATAAGCCTTGAGCTCTATACAAGGAGAAAAGTGGGGAAAACCCAGAGCTGGGAAAAATTCCAGTCTCATTACTCAAACCAACCTGCTGTAATTGTGTATGGAGGAAATAAGCAAGATATTAAAAGGGGAATGCTGGTTAACTGGTTCCAGGCTGTATTCAGCCAAAAGATCAGGCTCCAGTCTGCAATAGCTAATATTTTCAGCTGTAAATTGAACCAGTCACAAGGTTTGCTTGGCTGTAAAATCACAGAGAGCTGTTGTGCCTGAAACTATTTGCTTTCGGAGTTTAAGGATTTTTTTTGATGATGATTCTAATTAAATCACTCTATCACAGACAGCTGATGAATTCCAACAATTCATGCATCAAATCCACCAGCTTGAAATGATGAACTCAACCAGGAAAAAGCCTGCTTCAGCTGGGCCCAAGCCATTCCAACTTCCTCAGAGCATTGACTGGAGGGACAAAGGTTATGTTACTCCAGTGAAAAACCAGGTAACTTGGTGAGAACGGTGACTAAGATTTCTGAGGAAGTCATAGACTCATTTATGACAGTGGTGCAGAACTCCACATCTCCTGTAACTTGAGAGACAGGATTAATCTCAGAATGAAAGGCCAATTCTTTTACTCCCAGTGTGAGTAAGTCTGGATTGGTGCCAAATCAGATTGGAACTGGTCTGGCCCAGCATCAATGTTAGGCTCTGGAGGTTTTATTATTTGGAGAAGCACTAGATAGTGGAACAGTGAATGAGAGATTTCAGGCCATAGATCACTGTTGCTAGGGACCTGAAGGAACAGGCCAGGACAGTCAGATAAGTAGTTAGAACGGATGGTGGAGTCGTTGTGCATTCACTTTGCAGTCAAGAGTAGGAATACAAAGAGACCAAGGTTTCATTCTGAGGCCCAGAGGAGCAGATATGCAAGTTTAAAACCATGACTTCAATTCTTAGGAACCTACAGTTGTGCAGTAATTCCCATCTCTCTGCTGGATGATCACTAAATCTATGGTAATGTTTTGTATGGGGGGATTTGCTTTTGCCTTGTATTAATGTCAGGTACGAGCACAGACTAAACGTCTGTGGTATACATGATCTGTCAGGTATTAAGGTCTAAGTTGACTCTTTATCAATCCCTGTGAAGAATTGCCTGATATGTGTACAGTGCCTGATATGTGTACAAGTACCTAATAAAAACTGAAATAACTGTGGATGCTGGATCTCAGAAACAAAAACAGAAATTGCTGGAAAAGCTCAGCAGGTCTGGCAGAATCTCTGGAGAGAAATCAGAGTTAATGTTTTGGTTCGAGTGACCCTTCCTCAGAATGTGTGTATATAGAATGTGTACTGTACGTGTTCAGTACCTGCCTGGTTTCAGTTCAGATATTCAGAACCTACCATGTGGAGAATCAGGGACATTGTGTTAGAGATAGTTATTTTACATTTCTCTCTGAACTGGTTCTCCCAAGATCATTCGCTATGCCGAGACCTTGCAGCTATTTGGTAGTTGTGCAGTAAGACATTCATCGATATTTCATTGAAACTGGCTCATCGGTCAAGCCATCAGTGTAGTATTGTCCCTGACACAACATTAATCCCAGAGGAGAATCAATGTAGTGAAGATTGGGAGATTATGGGTACGAATGGATGTTGAATTAATTTTCATTGACACCTGCTGGACCTCAAACATGCTCTGATCTTAATGTTCTTTCTAAACTTATGGTCTCAAGGTATGTTTACTGTGTCATTCTGAAGCTGTAAAATATCTGAAAGTTTTGCTTGAGGTGTTGCCGCTGGTACTGTATAATTAAGAATTGTTGTCATTGCTTCCAGCGGCACTGTGGTTCATGCTGGGCTTTCAGTGCAGTTGGTGCCCTTGAGGGACAGACGTTCAAGAAGACAGGAAAACTCATCTCTTTGAGTGAACAGAACTTGGTCGACTGCTCCAATGCAGAGGGTAACCATGGATGCAATGGTGGACTGATGGAATATGCCTTCAACTATGTTCAGTCTAATGGTGGGATTGACACAGAGGATTATTACCCATACACTGCAGAGGTACGGTTTTTTTCCTCCAAATGTCCTCCCATTGCTTTCCTCCTTCTCTGAGTATACTGCTTTGTGTTAGAGTTCCACAATCCCCAGCTCATCAGTGGTATGTAACACAAAAACCCTCTTATTCATCTGTGAGTCTCAGTATTGGGCCCATTCAGAATGGCATTATGAAAGTAAAGTTTGATCCTGTCTTCACTCAAACTCCACATTTATACTTTTCATCAGATAGGATTTAGGAGCAAGATGTCCAACTGATTTACCTTCTGTAGCTGAGACACTGAGGGCAGTTGCAACTCTCCCTATCACTTTGTCAATGGCAATCAGTCAATCCTGTTAGACTTCCTAACACTTTGTAAAAGAAGAGATCAGATGTTAACCTTTGCAGTCCATCACCACTATCTATAGGTGTCTGTTTATACTCAATAAGTGAATCAAATTAATTGAAGAAGCACCCTTCTGGGGCACTATAAGGAGAAACAAGCATTTTAATGGAAACTTGTCAAATTCAATATGAATACAAGGTGTTGAACAAGTCACCACTACCAAGCAAGAATCTTGCTGTGCCACTTGTCAAAAGCATAAAAGATTGAGAGAAATGTTCTTGACATCAAAATGGACCTCATCAGACTTCTGGTGTAATTCTGCCACACATCTCACCATAGCCCAGTAAGATTCTGCAATCCATGTAATACTGATATGAATAGATCAGGAAGGATCAGGTATAAGCTTTCTGAATGCAGGTTGTTCATTTGATCCCTCTACTAAGGGGAAACGTTTATTTCTACAATCTGATCTGTGCCATTCACAATGTTATAGATTTCAATCAGGTCTACTCTCAGCCTTCTCTGCTCCAAGGAAAACAGCCCTGGCCTATTTAGTCTCTAAAGCTGAAACGTATGAAATACTGCAATCTAAGCCCTTTAATGGTGCTGGTCTATTTAATGGTTTTCTCTTAAGGATAGATATTTTTCATCAACCTGCTCAGACATGTTACAAAGACAACTCAGTTATCATCCTTACAGAAAAGCTAGTGACTTGACCCCATCAACAGTAAGTGTAATCAAGAAATCAGTTGATTTCTTGGAACTATTTCGGTGAAGAATATTTTAATATGTTCTTATATTTCCTGACAAAATTACCTCCTTGAGATGGACTCACAAAATTTGCCGTGGAGCTCTATGGCTGAATTTTCATCTCCTGAGCTTGAGCAAGCTAGGTTTGGTACATGTAGGAGCTGTCTGGACTTGAACCCAGGCCTTCTAGCCTAGAAGTAGGGACACTATCACTGCACCACAAGAGCCCTCTAGGATAGAGCCTTATGATCAATCACTAAATTGTTGAGAGATTTAAATTTCCAAATAACATCTGATTGGCACAGTTGAAATATTTAAGAACTTTTAAATTTACTGTCAAAATGTTCCCATATCCAAAGTACAATTGCCCCAGGGTTCACAAACTGCCCAACCTGACAGGGTTTACTCAGCCTTCAAGAATCCACCTACTTCCAGGGAAATCAGCAAGGGAAAGTACAATCTGGGCTGAACATTGAAGTAGCAAAGCTGAAATCACTTTAAGTATTTGCTGGGTTGCAATCTGCCATGTCTTTCTTGACCCGCGAGGAATTGTGGGCAAGGGGAATCTGAGAGTGAGTGTGAAATTACAGCCCCAGACACCTCCTACATGTGCCAAACCTAGCTTGCTCAAGCTCAGGAGATGAAAATTCAGCCATAGAATTCCATGGCAAATTTTGTGAGTCCATCCCAAGAAGATAATTTTGTTAGGAAATATAAGAACATAATAAAATATTCTTCGCCGAAATAGTTCCAAGAAATCAACTGATTTCTTGATTACACTTACTGTTGATGGGGTCAAGTCACTAACTCTTATTTAAGGATGATTTCACATCAGCAATATAGATAGACTGGCATTAAACTGTTTTAAATAGCACTAAAGTAAAGCCAACACCTAATTAATAGCACTAGATTAAAGGACAGATAATAAAGAAAGATGTTAAGAATGATATCTATATAGCACTTTTCAGAATGTCTGGATTTCCTAACACAATTTCACAAGTTAAGAATTTTTTGAAGATCTATGTCTTTATTTTCAAACATTTTCAAACACAATTTTTTCAACTCCCTGCATCCTCAGCCTGTTGAAGTGATCCGTGGCATTTTATGATTAATCAGAATTGATATTCCTTATTGCGTTGGGAGTAAAGTCTTTCTCCAGAACTGCACATTGAAGACAAGTGAGGACAATCCGTGCTTAACAGAACCCCCATCTCACTCATTTTCTCTCCATTTATTTACTTAAGAGTAAGATTGGGCATAGTTCTACAATGGCATATCCAACTGCATGGTTCAGTGTGCTGCACCTTGGTAGTTTTCTCAACTCAAATGCAATCCTCGATCTCTTTTGCTCCTTTCCTCTTCAGTGGTGCACTTCAGTCTCACTTTTGGACTTACAATGTGCTCAGTAATTAGAAACTTAGACTTCTTTAAAATCATTCACGGGATGAGGGTGCCGCTGGCTGGTCTAGCATTTATTGCCCATCCCTAATTGCCCAGAGAGCAGTTAAGAGTCAACCACAGGATAGCAGTTTCCTTCCCTAAGGGACATTCATGAACAAGGTGGGTTTTTCTGACAATTGACAGCAGTTTCTTAGTCATCATTAGACACTTAATTCCAATTTTTTTTAATTGAATTAATTTAATTGAAATCCTGCCATAGCAGGATTTGAACTTGGGCCCCTAGAACATTACCTGGGTCTCTGAATTAACAGTCCAGCATAATACCACTGGGCCATTGCCTCCCTAATTACGTCCTGCTATTGGAACTGATTGAAGTTCAGAATTAAATGCAAAACTTGTTTAGCTCTCATTTCTAGTTTTTTTTTAAATTTAGTTAAATTGTAGATAATAAAGTTTACATCTGTTTTAAATTGGAGTGGAAATTTTACCAACTCAAAGTTTGACTGGTCTTTAGCTCTGAATCTGAGTGCTTATAGAATCATGACTGGTAGTTGGTTTAGGTTTAGAGTGAGGATTTGGCTTTTGTATATGGTTAAATATTGTTCCTTTGATTTCCTTTGCTACAGGAAGGCACCTGTAAGTATAATCCCAATTACAGTCCAACCACTTGCCATGGTTCCAGGTTCATAGCCAGAGGTAATGAAACTGCGCTAGCTGAAGCTGTGGCCACCATTGGACCAATATCAGTCGCAATTGATGCAAAACAACTATCATTTCAGTTTTACAGATCAGGTAAAAAGAATAGATTGGTGGCTGATACTTTATGTTTGTCTGGTTCATACATCGAATAATGGGTAGGGGTCTGGTAACATACAGGCTGTTTAGTTCACAAATATAGGTCACATCCTGAAGCTTGAGTGATTTATAATCATCATTTAAACTCTGGTCTGTTAGACTATCAAGAAATCACACCCACTTTTAATCCATGTAGAATTTTACTCATTTAATTGGAAGAGTAATAGACCACTCAGCCTTTGCTCCGTCATTATGTTAGATAATGGCGGATCTATACCTGGACTCAACTTATGTACCACTGTACTATATCTATTGATACCCATACTGAACAAAACTAGCATTTTCAAACTTGACAATTTCTATTGACCCAGCATTCACGGTCAATTTTCGGAAATAGTATCAGATTTTCATTACTGTTTATGTGAAGTTTCCTGCTGATTTTACTCCTAAATGGCCTCATATTAAAATAATGACCCCTTAGAATGGATTGTCTGAGAAAAATATTTCTTTCCATCTTCCTTAACAAATTCCTTTATCACTTTAAACAATACAACACAAAACAGTACAGGAACATGACCTTCGGCCCACCAAGCCTGTGCTGAATCCTAATCCTTATTTAGACCTTCTACTTATTGCCCATGCGTGGTTTCTATCCCTCTGTTCACCTCCTGTTCATGTATCTATCAAGATATGCCTTAAATGTTGCTAATGTGCCTGCTTCCACCATCTCCACTGGCAGTGCGTTCCAGGCACCCACCATCCTCTGTGTGAAAAAGTTACCCTGCACTTCTCCCCTAAACTTTTCACCCTCTCATCTTGAATCTGTGCCCTCTTGTAAGTGACCTTTGCATTCTGGGAAAAGACCTTTGACTAGATCACCTTGAACTTTCTATACTCGAGGCAATACAAACCACGCTTATACAGCCTGGCCTCATGAATATAACAATGTAAGATCTATTACTTTTCTGTTAAATTGTTCTGTATCACCTTCAACTCTTTCGAATCTTTTCTAATTTTGGTGCCCAAAATTGAACGTAGTTCTCCAGTTGAAGTCTGCCTGAAGCTCGGCACATACATTTGTCTTCAATTTAGTATTTAAGATAAAGGCCAACATTGCATTCCCACCATTTAGATTAATTCTTTCATGACGCCACTTCCTATTAGCAATGAGTGCACAGTGACATCCCTTTGTTCCACCACAGCTTTTACTATTAAAAATATTCTAACCTCCTCGGGTTCAAAGTAAGTAATTTTACATTTCCCCGTAGTAAACTCCGTTTGCTATAATTTCTCATTTAGTTTGACTGTGTACTTTTGTAACTTCTTGTTACCATCTGCAAAACATACCGAGCCTTTTAACTTAACGTCATCTGCGAACATGTGTATACGATCCTCTATTCATTCATATATGTTATTAAAATAGATGGTGAATTGCTGAGGCCCTGGTTCAGATCTCTGGGCAGCACCATTGTCTTTTCCTACCAACCAAAGCTCAGTCCTTTTAACCCTATTTCCCATGTTGCAATCAATTATCAGCCCATATCACTATACCACCTCCAATTCCATTTTTTTCATTTTTGCTGTAAACTTTGGAACATTTCCGAGAATGGTTTCAGTGATGAAGAACTTTAGATATAAAGATGGATTGGAGAAATTGCTAAGTCTGAGAGGAGATTTGTTTGAAGTTTCAAAATTATGAGAGTTCTAGACAGAAGTAAGGAGGGAGAAATTTTCCCCACTTGTATGAAAGGCCGGAGAATGAGAGTGGAACAATTTCAGGTAATTAGTAGAAGAAGCAAAAGTGATATGAGGGAAAGCTTTTTCACATAGCATGTGGTTAGAATACTCTCCCTGGGAGTGTGGCAAAGCCAGGTTCAATGGAGGTACTTGAAAGAGAATTAGATGGTTATGCAAAAAGGAACAATGTGCAGGGTTACAGGGAGATGGCAGGATAGTGGGCATTAAGAAAGATGTTAATTTGGAAAGTTGGCGCTATAGCCTCTTTCTACACTGTTATAATTCTGTGATTCTGTGAAACCTTACCAAAAGCCCACATAAATAATATCCGAGCATCCAGTGACCCACCCAAATTTCAAAGGTGCAAATTATTTTTTGTATGTTGTATATTTCTTGACCCATAAAATCAGTTATGGACGGTCAGTGGAGGTTAAAGATCACTCCTAATAGAGCCATAGAATCATAGTCACAGCATGGCAACAGATCCTTCAGTCCAACCACAAATGTGGATTTTATCAGTTTCAAAATCTCCCCACCTCCAGCCTCATCCCATGTCCAACTCTCCCTCTCATCCCCGCCTCCTTGACCTGACACAGCCTGTCCATCTTGTCTCCCACCTATCCGCTCCTCCCACCTCACTGACCAATGCCCACCACTACCTACCTACACTTACCTATCACCATCCCATCTACCTTCCCCAGCCCCACCCCTTCTCTCTCTATTTATTTCTGAGCTCCCTTCCCCTCCCCCATTTCTGAAGAAGGGTCCCGATCTGAAACGTTAACTTTCCTGCTCCTCTGATGCTGCCTGGCCTGCTGTGTTCCTCCAGCTCCACATTGTGTTATCTCATAATCCCAAACTAAACTAGTCCCACCTGCCTGCTCCTGGCCCATATCCCTCCAAACCTTTCCTTTTTATGTACTTATCCAAATGTCTTTTAAACATTATAATTGTACCCACATCCACCACTCCTTCGGGAAGTTCAGATTTATTTATTTATGTAAACATGGTACACACAGAAAATACATTACTTTATTTAGCATGAATAAGGAAAATACTCTTTCTTACTGGAATCATTTGGAAAGAACCTTTTTGTATTGTTGTCCACATTTCTGTTCAAATTCTATCAGTAAAGATATGTGTGTTCACCATCTCACAGTTTCAGTGAAGTAAAATTTGCATTTATGTAGCACTTTTCATGACCACTGAATGTCTCAAAATGCTTTACAATGAAGCACTTTTGAAATGAACTCATTATTGTAATGCTGGAAATACTGCAGCCAATTTGCACACAGCAAACTCTACTATGTTTTTGTGATGTGGATTGAGGGACAAATTTTGGTCAGTCCACCAAGGATCGCTATCCTGTTCCTCTTTGAAAAAGTGCTCAGGAACGTTTTACATTCATTTGAGAGGGCAGATGTGGTCTTAGTTTTGCACCTTATCCAAAACAGCATCTCTGACAGTGCTGGACACCTTCAAAACTACATTACGAGGTTGGATTTTTGTGCTTAAGACTTGGAAAGGGGCTTGAGCCCAGATACCGACCTCATAGAGGTCTAAGTGCCACGAATTGTGCCACAGTTAACAACTAAATAAGCATGTTGTTGTTTTATTTGTTTCTGTACTTCTTCCTGTTCCAGTTTTTTTGGCCTGATCTTTGTTCAAAGATCAATACTGTGGCAGAGGCCTGATCAAGGATATCAATAATGCTCCCATTTGTCTAGGGGCATGATTCTTGCTTTTGGGGGTCTCATTGAATTTTAATCCGAGTGCTTGGCTTCATATCCCGGACAAACTCCCAAGTTAGCAAAATTGAAGCCACTAGATTCAAAGTGGCAATGGTTGCTTGTACACAAAAGTATGAGAGAGCTGTTGTTTCAGTCTGGAGGGATAGGTACAGTAGGGTCCGCACTGTGATTTTGGAGATTTGTCCTTTCTGATATATACCATTGGCATAGACATTGCTATTATCGAATATAATTTAGATGTTCACAGCTAAAATATAAACTCAGAAATGTAGTAAACAGTATGGAGAATGTTACAGACTTCAAGAGGACCTAGATACACTGGTGAAATGGGAAGACACATGGCAGATTAAATTTAATGCAGAGAAATGTGAAATTATTCATTTTGACAGGAAGAGGGCCAACAATCTAAACTAAATGGCACAATTTTAATGGAATAGAGAGAACTTGGAATGCACGTACAGAAGTCTGAAAGTGGCAGGACAAAGGGAGAACAAGGCAAGGACTACAAATCAAGGACATTATATTCCACATAAATTTGCTAGACCCCAACTGGTGTACTATGGCTCATCCTGGGCTGACATTTAAGGAAGGATGTGAAGTGTTGAGAAAGGATGCAGAGGAAATTTGAAAGTATAGGACTAGGATGGAAAACTTAAGTTACCTACAGAGATGAAAGAAGCTGATGTTCTTCTTTGGAACCGAGAAGACTAAGTACAAATTTAACAGAAATGTGAGTTAGTCACGTTTTGATTGTATACAGAACATGAAACAGTTCCCAGTGGGTCAAGAAGATTTAAGTTGATTGTCAAAAGAACCAGAGAAAAATATTCTTTACACAATTATCCATGTTGAAATGCACTGCCTGAAAGGATGATGGGAGCAGATTGATTGCATTCAAAAGAAAATGAGATACATCACTTGAACTGGGACAATTGATTGTCTTATGGGGAAAGAAAAAGGTACTGGGACTAATTGTTAGGTACCTTGTTGCCTGAGTATTTCCAAACCATGGGTGATTTCAAAGATCACACTTTTTAAACCTACCCTAAGGAATGTCATGAGAGTGGGGGAAAGGATGTGTATGACTGTCCTCACACCTTTAACTGCTTTTATGTGATCCCAGAGGCAATGAGGAGCCAAGACATTTGGAAAATTTGGCAGCTGGAGTGAATGGCCAGGAGATGATGCGCTCTGCTTTTGCCCTTTGCTGCACACACTACCAGAGGTCATTTGCCATGGCTTCAGGGCAAGATGAGGAGACAGTCCCCCAGAAATACCTCAGCCAAGATGGGGATTTTGTTTCTTTGTTCTTGGGGTATGGGTGTCGTTGGCTAAGCCAGCATTTATTGCCTATTCTTAGTTGCCCTGGAGAAGGTGGTGGTGAGCTACCTGCTGGAGTCCTTGGATGAAGGTAGACTCATAGTTCTGTTAGGGAAGGAGTGACAGGACTGAAGAGAATGGCCAATATGGTTCTGAGTCAGGATGGCTTGTGCTATTGACAGCATCACACTCCTTCAACTGAGCAAACTGGCTCTGGGGGCATTCTTTCAGAGAGGTGGTACAAGCACAATGAGATGATTGACCTCTTTTGCTGTTTAATCCAACTTGGGATACAGAAGAATGATTGAAGAGAGATTCTAAACAAAATTCTTGAATTTAAGACTGTTTATTTAAGAATTGCCTAGTACTGTTATCGAAGTATTTGGCTCCTTGAGGGGATTAATTTGGCCATTGACCCACATAGTTTCTTATCTTAAAATTGGATATTAATTGAGAACTGTGTGTCTAAATATTTGCTGAGGTTGTAGTCTCTAATGGTTACATGGTGATTTAAAATGTTTATTATTATAGGTGTTTACTATGAACCAAACTGCAATAACATTGTACCCAATCATGGAGTACTGATAGTGGGATATGGAACTGAAAATGGACAGAACTATTGGATCGTTAAAAACAGGTACATCTGAACCTAGCATCTAAGATACCTATCCACACAATCAACCAGATATAGGCATAGCTGCAACAATAGATAGAAATGAACACATGAGATTTCCACTAACGTTCGATACTAGTAAGAATGTTTTAATAGATGAGGTTTCTATCTCCTACTTTACACATGAGAGTACAAAATCAAATTGTTGTTGGGATAAAATTAAGGCCTTTTTAGAAAATGATGGGGGTAATTTTCTGGAATTAGTTGCTGGAAGACTGGCAGCAATGTATGAGCTACCTATTCTACTTTCAGGCTGACTTTCATTATTTCAGTGGAAGGGGCATCTGGTGGACTGATTCTCTACCATCACTGTCCCGTCCCTGCTGAGATTGGAAAGGCCCCTTTATACAGTTTCTGTTTTGTACTGCACTCTCTCCAGAGGCCCACGCTGAGTGTCTTGCTAAAACTATTCTTGTACTGCATGTTCTGTGAACCAATGGCTGGTATTCACCCTCCCATATGGGCATCTACATCCTTCGTTCTCCAATGTGGATACTTTCCCCTTGTCTCATAGCCAATAGAAATCATGAGGCATAATGTCCAATCTAAAGTGCAACATATTGGAGCCCCAACACAGACTACAGCCTAATTCAGGAACAAAAACAAAGTTGCTGGAAAAGCTCAGCAGGTCTGGCAGCATCTGTGAAGGA